ATACTTAGCTACTACCCTTAGCCTTAATAAATCGGCCAATAAGTGAGTTGTTTTAGGAAAAGTAAATAAGCGTGTTTTGCCAATAACGGCAAATGAAAATGTCTTTTCACGTATACCTGAGCAATGCCAAYGGTTAATGCAACAAGCACACATTTTTTTTCGCTCCAATATACTCTTTATAGTGATTTCCGACTTTTCAGCTGATTAAAATCGTTTAGGTTGGTAAAAATGTGTGATAGTTTAAGTGCACAAGTTTATTTTTAAATGTAATTATGTGGTTTAGCGCTGTGTATATAAGGAGTTGGTGTAGAACTTGGTCSCTCATATCCCTAATATATGCARTTAATTATAATCCTCTGGTTGACTTTTTCCCCTAAACTCAACATATTAAACTTAGCGACCTCGGTTGAGTTTGTATCACTTATAAATTGACTTGTGAATATAATTTTAATATAAATGAAAATGAAATTGAGAATAAAGTGAAAGTCTATGACATATTATATACCCTTGAAAAAGAAGGTTTGGCAATAACTGAAAGTATGATATTTCAACCGATTTGATCCCTGCGAGTTAAAATGAAATGCTTGCTTGCACCCGAACTTTGCTATTCGTTATCTATTGTATGTACATACATATTTTTACTTCTACTCCTAAGTAACTAGATGCAATTGAAATTATTTTATCACATAGAGTGAAGTGATGGCGCATAACTTAAACCATATGTATGTATATGTGGAACTTATATATATGTGTGTGTACATATATCTATAAAACTGTATCAACTCTTATCATATAAGCTTGAGAGTAATTTTTATTTAAACATTATAAATTAACAATTCTCAAACGTATACATGCAAAATTAACCTGAACTGAGTGAAGCGTAGAGTTGAAAAACAATAAACTAATAGTCTGACGCATATAGTACATTCATGCTTTGTGTGCACGCCCAATACATATGTATATACAAAGGAATGTATGAGAAATGATCGTGGGRCTTGTAATCTTTTGACATAATAAAACAATGGTTAAGATAACTTTTAAATATGATCATAAGATTTAACAGATATTTCAGTTCATTCTTCAAACTTTGGTCGTCAACAGTGCAAAGCCGAAAGTGTATAGAAGACTYTGAACACGTATTTATTCAGTGCCTTCGTTTTTTTAAATATATGTATATAAAAGGAAAATTAAGATCCAAACTTTGACAGGACATACTTATGTATCAGCTCTCACTCTCTAAATGTAAAGATATTATTACGAAACTAAGATACTTACAACAGATTTGGAGTCAGTTTGTCCGTACCATTGAGAAGACGTAAATATCGTGTTTTCTTCCATGAAGTAATACTTATTCTAGTGGTTCAGTAAGAGAGAATTGAGTTGGGAGGTTCAGGTTAAAGTTAGCGGATTAAAGTTCCATGTCGACCTTTCGCTGCCTCCCCTACTAAAAAACTAATCCGATAGGAATTTCAACACGGTTACTCCCGTAATGGAATATAAGAGGATATGTTTTAGTTAAAAGAGCTAGCGTTAAGCTTGATAGAATAAAAGCCATTAAAGAAGTCTAACAAAAACAAGTAAGGGAGGCCTAATTTTGGCGGTGACTGAACATTTTAAACTCTCGCAATTTACATACATCGAAGGCGAGGAAATATTTTCAGGCGTTGCAAAATTTTATATTAAGAAAGTAAGGAAGGGATAAGTTCGAGTGTAACTGAACATTTTATACTCTTGAAGATTGCAAAAGCCAGAAAAATGGCTTCAGCTGTTGGAAAATTTTTACAGTAAACGTGTAAGAATGGGCTAAATTCGAGTGCAACTGAACATTTTATACTCTTGCAACTTCCTGGAATCAAATCCAGCGAAATATCTTAAGATGTAAAACGTCAATCAGGAATCGGAATCTAAGCAATTTTATTTATACCTATACCATAGGTATACTTATACACTGACCTACTTATATATTCGGCATAAGGTTGTTAGGAAAATCAAAATCATCATACATACGCAGTTATTATACAAATTCAGCCGCAGGCTCTCATAAAACTTTTTTATATAATTTTGGGGGTAAAATTTAATGTCGGTGTCGTAATTAGTTATTGACTTATTGCGCTTTTAATAGTTTTGAACAGTACCATTATATGGGGAGTGAGTGGGGTTATCTTCTGATTTCATCCATTTTCTTATAATAATCTAGCTTAGAATTTTAGGTTGTTGTAGTTATGGCGATTTATAGGTTTTCGGTTAATGGTGATTTGTGGGTATGGCAGTTGTTTTTGTACTAAGGAACCTGCATATCAAGTTTAATCAAGATATCTCAATTTTTACTCAAGTTACAGCTTGCACAGTCAGACGGACAGACGGACAGACAGACATTCAACCGGATTCAACTTTTCTCGTCACTCTGATCATTTATATATACAAAACCTTATATCTATCTCGCTTAATTTAAGGTAATATGTACAAATGTTAGGTGAATAAAACTACATATAATACTCTGTAAAACCGTGTTGCCAAAGAATTCCACCTTTATTATTCGACGAAATCGTGAAGGGTATCTTATTCACTTAAACTGAAGATCATTGACTCACTTAGCTTTATTAAAATAAATTTAAGGTATGTTATAAGTAGTCGAGAACAAATTCATTCGTATTCAGCGGTAAACTATATATTTTTTAAGAAAACGTGTTCAAATAGTTTTATTACAATATAAAAGTAAATAAATTTAATATATTGGGTTGATGTGGAAAATGTAAGCAATAGATTATTCATATAGGACATAAAAATAATTGACATTATTCTTCAGAAAAGTTGTGCAATTAATTAATTAATTAGAATATCACACTTTCAGACTAATATTTATAGGTGAAAGTCAAGTAAAACGTCGAAAATCACTGTATCGGACATATTGGGACTATAATGATTGTATTAACCTTTGCCATTACTAAAGTACAAGAAAGAATATGTTTGTATGCAAATTTTGAGAAGCTAATTCCCACACTGGCCAACATTTTGGCACAGGGTCTCCTGAAATAATGAAAATCATTATGGGTAGTAAGTACGAGTATATGGTAGCTGAAGTGACTCATTGCCCGATTTCACACATTTCAATTTCACTATATTACATAAGGTAAATGTCCCTTTGATTATTTTCATATTTATCGATATATAGTGTATAGAGGATGATTCAAAACCTTTATAATTTTTATAAGGGAGCTAGGGCATGTTTCAATCTCTCTGAATTTCATTAAAACAACTCATTTATATTAGATATAAAAAGGCTAAGGGAAGTATTGAAACGATTCTACCCAATATAGACAAAGGCTTACTGTTATCAGGAAAATATTATCTCTGATTTTCCATAACGTATTTCTCAGATCGGCCAATATTTTTAGCAAAATGTTGCCATGTTCAATATGTTCACATATTCGGCATCRGGGGGCTTGAATTGTTATAATCTGGTTCTGACAATCTTTAGTCATGAGGCGGCAAACTTTAAAGGCACTATTTGAACAAAGTTTTACAAGTATATTCATTGCGGCTTGATTTGTGTTCTGGAAAGTGGAAAAATTATATGAAATTTATCGATTAAGCCTTTAAATATGGAATTTCACCTAATAGTGGGTTATATGGAGGTGAGGTTATCATACGATTTCACACATTTGCCCACTGTAAGAGAAGTTGCAAAAAGCATTTGTCCTCAGCAAATTTAATCATTTTATATATATTAACGGTGGGACCACGCCGACTATAATAACTTTTAAAACAGAAGATTTTCTTCACTAATACGATTGGCCCCACCAAATAACATAGGTATGTAAAGTTTGTACAAAGTTTTAACAACCTATATTAATTTTTACTGAAGCTATAATTTTCAACGACGGTCAGACAATAACTCAGAATTCAACTTATCTCGCCATCCTAATCATTTATATACTAGGATATTACCCTATATCTATCCCGATTAGTTGCACTTATTAAAACAATCGTTAAGTAAACAGAACTATTATACTCCGTAGCAATATGTTACGAACGTTTAAAAATATTTTATTTAAATGTGTTACAAAGTTTTGCGTTTGATTSGATACTTTCCTGATTAGATACCTTCCTTACGTAGCATCGCACACATATTATACATGTTTGTTTACAAATGTGAATACCAATTCTTAAAATTAAGTACGCCGATATAATAAAATAGTATAACAACTTCTTCTTCTTCTTTACTGGCGTAGACACCGCTAYGTGGTTATAGCCGARTTARCAACAGCGCGCCAGCCGTTTCTTCTTTCGGAATTTGGATTTTGTCGCCAAGTGCAGCCAACTAGTACTATAAAATTAATCACTAAACAGTAGAATTGTCGTGTGCTTCTAGTCTTATTTATAACAAATGATGTTAAGTAGTGAAACAAGAACACCGTCCATTGCTAAACAAAAAACACATCAAAGCAATAACACCGCTAATTTAAGTTCGAAGAAAAATATCAAGAGTTTGCATGAATTATTTTTGGAAATACTAGACGCAGTGCTATCATGTGTCATAGTGGCACCATGCGTAATCGCCTATTGGCGAGGAACTTGGGAGCTGATGGGTGTTTTATTGTTTCCACGAAGCATGCCGCTATCTGCGCTCACGTCCTTTTTGATTGGTCTTTCGGGTCACTTCGTCTTTACAATCACGCAATCTTGTTTTCGAAGATACATCAATCCTGATAAGCGCCGCCTTACCTATTATATAATTTCGCGAAGCTATACAGCTTTATTTGGCATCGTATGTGTGAATATGTGGCGCGGTTCGTGGATATTATGCGATTGGCTCACCAGTGCGGACTCCTTAATAATTATTGCCGCCGTAACGCTAGTGTCTTTGATGTTTTTAATTGCAACACGGACTGTTCGAAATCTGAGCGCCGCACCTTATGTCGTTACAACGGACCATAAAAGTAATTATTTCGACGTTGACACTATGTTTAAAATACCGGTAAGTTGAGTCATACATAATCTTTATAAGAAATTTGTATTTACATATGTATGTATAATCAAGAAGGAAAGAGCAAAGTTTGCAAATTTGAAGGATTGAAGGAGGAAAAGTACTTTCAGTTGTTGTAAAACTTCAAATTAAACAAATAACAAATAAGGAAGGGCTAAGTTTGGGAGCAACCGAACATATTATACTCTTTCAACTTAGAAGAACCAAAGCCAGGGAAATACTTCATGGCATAAAACGCCAACCTGAGGATACTGACAGACACATACGGTTTGTTAGAAAATCGAAAACCATTGGAAGTTGGAGTAGTATCGGCATGCTTCTAACATGTTGTTTACTAAAAAGCTCATCATATATAGTAAATTCAACCGGATGTCTGAAAATCCTGATATTAGTTATCGCTAAAATTTATCTATTTTAGACACAAAGATGCACTGTTATGAATAAAACCCGCTCTTTAATTATCTTGGGATAACTCACATATTGGCCGATATATGTATGCGGTACAAAGTCACCACGAAGTTCGAAACTCTTTATATTTAATATATATGGACTAAGGGAAGTATTGGTCCAATTCAATAAATTTTTGACACACAGACAAACCATTATAAGATAAGAATTAACCGATAATTTCTAACAAATGTCAACTATAGGTAGCGGTGTCCAAATATTCGGTCCCCTAGATACGTGAACAATTTTTGTTGGATTTGCACAATTTTTGGKCATAATTTGGCATACACTAAGTGCATTATTCGTGTAAAGTTTAATCCCGTTATATTAAATGCTACTGGAAACTGAACGAATCAAATGGAATTTAATTGTGCCTACTTCCCATGGCGTCGTTATTGTTCAATTTGCTCTTTTTCACAGTCTGACATAGGAATCTGAAACGAATGCAAGATACCAAATTTTGTCGAAATCTGTTGGTCGGGTCCTAAGATATAGGATTTCACCAAAAAGTGGGCGGTCCCTCGCCCATAGTCCAATTTTCWCAACAGCTATATAAGGATCCCTCATACTATCTCGAAGGTAAAATTTAATGTCTCTGGTGTAGTTATTGATTATCACGCTTTTACTAGTTTTTAACCATACCGTTACATGGATCCGATTTCATTGATTTTCACACTGTCAGTAAATGTTTTATAAGATTTATACTAARCAAATTCGATTGTTGTGGGAGATATGTACATTAAACTTGTTAGTGGGCGGGGCCACGTCCACTTTGTAAAAAAATTTTGCCCCTTGCTTCTGCAATGTTCTGTACTAAGTTAGTCAGTTAATGGCGACTTGTGGGCGTGGCAGTGGTCCGATTACTCGAATCTACGTACTCAATGTTTTTTTTTTACTAAGAAAGCTTTATACCTAGTTTCATCGATATACCTCAATTTCAGCTTTCACTGACGGACAGACAGTTAGCCGGATTTTAACTTTTCTCGTCACCCTGATCATTTATATATATGTATACATATGTGTAGCATAGCCCTTTTAAATAAACGCACTTGGTTCAACTTTATAATTGCCATACACTTTTATTTAAAATACATAAGTGTTAAATGTTCATGTACAAATTGAATATGTGAAGTCCGTCCGTTTGACCGTCCTATATGTGTGATGACTGTTTAACGACTGT